TGTCTGGAGGAATAGTAAAATTCTTACCCTAATTTTAAAAACAACCAATAGAAATTATTATTTTGTATATGTGCATGTGTTTCCGGTAGGCAAATCCCAGGACCCCATACATGTCTACCACTCAGCTACACTCCCAGAAACAGCAATTATTTTTTAGAAAGTGAAAATTGTAGGCAGCTGTATTTTCACCCACTAGGCATGAATAATCTGAAAAGAAAATCAAGAAAACAAGTCTACTTATATTTTATGAATGAAATATCTAAGAAAAAATGTCATGGAGAATAAAGAATTGTTCCTGAAAATTACAAATTGTGGATAGAAATTAAGACCTAAACAATGGAAAAATATCTCATGTTCATAAATCAGAAGTCTTAAAATTGTTAAGAAGGCAACACTATCCTATATCATCTGCACACTCAATGCACTCCCTATCCAAATTCCAACAGCCCTTTTCACAGAAATAGCAAAACTGATCTTTAATTCACATGGAACTGCAAGTAATCCAAATAATCAAAGCAATGCTGGATAAAAAGAGCAAACTGGAGTCTTTGCACTTGCAAATATCAAAACTTACTACAAAGCTGCAGTGATCAAAACAACAAGGCACTGGCATAAGAACAGACCAATGGACCATAGAATAGAATAGAATGTCCAAAAATAAAATGTAAAAATGGGCAAAGGACTTGAACAGATAGTTCTCCAAAGAAAACATACAAATGGTCAATAAGCTCTTGAAAATGGTCTCCCTTATATTGTCAATTGGTTATAAATTAAGGTGCAGAGGCCATTTATTGAGGGAAAATAATATCTTTAACAAATGGTGCTGGAAAAACTTGAAATCCACATGCAAAAGATTGAAGTTGGACCTATCCCCCAGAGAATATGAAAAATTATCTTGAAAGTAATAACTTCAATATAAAAGAATAAAACTCTTAGCAGGAAACAGAGGGGTAAATCTTCATAACTTTAGGCAATGAACACCAAAAAGCATGAGCAATAAAAGAAAATTTATCACTTTTTTGAACTTCATCAAAATAAAAAACTTTTGTGCACCACAAGTCATCAAAAAAAGTGAAAAAGAAAACCTTAAAAATGGGAGAAAGTATTTTTAAGTCACCTGTTAAAAAGCCAGTATCCAAAATATAAGTACTACAACTCAACCATAAAGAGGCAAACAATCCAATGTAAAAATGGGCAAAGGACTTGAACAGACAATTCTCCAAAGAAAACATACACATGGTCAATAGGCTCTTGAAAAGATGGTAAATAATTATCAGTCACTAGGGAAATACAAATCAAAATCACAGTGAAGTACTACTAAATAGTCACAAAGTTGTTTATAGCAAGTTTTTTTTTTAAAGGAAAATAAGTCTGGGCAAGGATATGTAGCAATTGCAATTGATTTGGCTGCCATGTAAAAGAGTGTGTCAGTTTTTCACAGCTGAACAGAATTATCATAGGACCCTGCACATCTCTAGATCTATACTAAAAACAACCAAAAATAAGGACAAAAATGCCCAATACTCGTTAGTCAGAACAGTCAAAAGTTGAGGAAAAAACCCCAGATGTCCATTTAAAAAATTAACGAATAAACAAATTCTGGTAGATCTATACAATGGATACTATCCGAACCACGCTCCCTCGCAAAAAAAAGGTTGATTGATGCTACAACATAAACCTTAAAAACACACAACATAAATGAAGCCGGGCAAAAAAGGTCACATGTTATAAGACACCATTTACACACGATATCCCAAATTGACAAATTCATGGAAAATAAAAGCAGATTCAAGATTGTCTGGGGCTAGGAGAGGAGGGTATGGGGTTACTACTTAATGAGCACAGGGTTTTCTTTTATGGTGAAAATACTTTGAAACTACTCAGAGGTGGCAGCTGCATGATATTGTGAATATGCCACTTAATTTTTAATTTTTAAATGGTTTTTATGTTACATAAATTTCACCTTATTGGGCTGGTTCAGTAGTAGAGCAACAGATGGATGAGCATCTTCTGCATCTAGATGCAGGCACTCTGGATGAAGGACTGTTAGCAGGAGAAAAGGAGAGACACTCAAAAACCAAAGATTGTGAATCATCACTGGCCCCAAAGCAGCAAAATGATACTGCCTGAGGAACAACACCTAGCTCAGCTTAGTCGGAAGGCTGGGACCTGGTCAACCCAGGCTGTCCACACCTAATCTACAGGGATGCATATTCAAGGAGTTCTTGTACTGTCCTTTGCAGGTGAAGAAACTGAATCCTAGCTGCATCGAAAGCCTGTGCACCAGACCATGGGTGGAAACTCAGGAAATACTCAGTGGTTTGCTACAAAAGCTTCTTGTCACCCTTTCATCAAGCTCTGGAAGTACCATTTCCCTATTCCCTTATCCTAACTCTTCTTATGTGTACCTTATACAGAAGCACACCTTAAAGAGCTGCAGGATCACGCTGCAAATGCTGCAGCTTATTCCTGGGATTGTAGTTCTACTGGCTTGTTGGATCTGGGGCTGGGGAGTGCCTGCAAAGGCATTAGGCCTTCCCATAGAAATCACACCACAAAAAGCATTTCCTTTTAGCCTTCTGTCTTCTGAGTCATGTAAATTAATTCTTAGTTAACCATATAGTTTGTTCTAGTTATTTCAGTGGGATCATTACAAAACAAGGACTTCAACTTCAGAGGGCAGCTTTTCAAAACAACTTAAAATCCAACTGTTTCTGTAACAAGAAAGGAAGAAGTGAACATTTTATGTCTTCATTTTTTTTTTTTCAATTTTGTTCATTGGAATAGGCCATCAATAATTCAAAGTGGCTAAATCAAAAAGGATTTCATTTATATGTCACAGAAAAATGGAAGAGAAAGGTCAGGGAATGTGAACTCTCCAGATTTTTATGTTCAGTTTTTTAAAAGTTTTCCTCATTTTAAAATTTTAAAATTACTAGACACATCACTCTCCTGGCATGCACTAAGCTTGGGTTCAATCTCCAGTTTCTCAAAAAGAAAATTAATGCTATTTTAAAAAATTCTAGAAACCTCCGTTCAACATTTTTGAGCATTCAAAAAAATGTCTATATTTGTAGATCTGCAATCAGGGAATGAAAAAAATATGAATTCTCTATCTCATTTATCAATTCAAGATATTTCACAATAAAAATTAAGCAATCTTGACCTTATTAACAATTTAAGATTTCAGAGTATTTCTAGTTCATTTTAATCCTTAGAAGGGCTGGTTCCCATTTTGAAGTCAAGAACTCTATGTTAAGGTGGAGGATTTAGAGACTTACAAAGTCAAAAAGAAATCATAACTCCTACATTTTTAATCATCCATCCTCCTGGTCGATGATTTACCCCATAATTTCCACCAGAAAATGAAAAAAGTTTTGAAGAACGAGTTATTCTCAATGTAAATCTCCAACCAGCCTCTGTCAATCATGTTAGCTTTTACCCCTAGTTAGCCTTTCTCCATCTCCTGCCTGAAAACTACACTACTATTTAATTGCTTTGTGACTTCACATTTTATTAAGAGGCAGAAAAACATAAAGAGCTAAAACAAGGAGATAAGCTCATTGCCGTAAATTGTCCCCTTATGCAATGAAACTTGCCTCTCAAGTGTAATAAGATGGGCACTGTGAAAAACCCAACAAGTGCAATTCTGCATAAGCCCACAGCCCCCATCACTTACAGCCAACCTTATTGTTTTCTGGGCTGCAGTGCCATAGATCAGAGCCCAGGGCAGTCAACTGCACACTTTCTAAAGCCACTGTGAAGGGCACAGCCAGGGAGTCACTTCATGCTCTATCCCCATCCACCCCAAACTTCTCTTCTTGTGGGGCAAGAAAAACAGAAGAAAATCACAGGGAGCAGAGTTATGGATAATTTTATAACCTGATAGCACCCTATCTCCCATCCCATTTCCTGGGAAATCAAACTACTTGTAATAATCCAGGGAGAACACTGTAGATAAATGTTTGCCCTCATGAACTTAGAAGAATTCACTCCTCTCCTACTTGCTGGCTTCCCATCCAAGTCCCCAGTTCTTCCTCTGCAGTGAGACAGAAATCGTTATCAGATTATGCCACATTCCAGAATGTGCCTGAGCCCCAGCCTTCTGGAAGACCATTTCCAATGAGTTGCAGAAACTAAATGGGGTTTGGTGTTTTAAAGCCCTGGGAAAACATGAAATGGTGACTTCTGCCAGCCAAGAAACAAAGGCTTCAAGTGTTTTCAAAACAGCCCATTGATGTGTATAAGAAAGTGGGTTTATGACACTGTTCAAAAAACCAGGCAAGTATAGAGATAGGAGAGTGTGTGTGGAGGTCCTACATATCCATCAACATGAAAAAGAGTTCTGGAAGGATACACAATAAACTCAGCAGTGGTAATGTTGTGCGAGCAGTCAGAAGAGAAGACACTAGAGTACTTTGTCCTGTATACTGGTTTTACTGTTTGAATATGTGACAATGGGCCTGTATTACTTTTGTCATTAATCTTAATTTTAAAAGAGTTAAGACAAAAAAGAATCATGAGAAAAAAGAATCATGAGAAAAAAGAATCATGAGCAATATTTTCCAAAGCAAAAATCCAGAACACATGGTCTGCTGAGTCAATTTGTCCCACATCTAGTGACAAGAGGCAGTTTAGGGAAAGTCATTGAAATGTTAAAGTTTCCCTTTTTTTTTTTTTTTTAAGAAAGAGAGAAAGAGGAGAGAGAGAGAATTTTTTTTAATATTTATTTTTTAATTCTCCGCGGACACAACATCTTTATTTTATTTTATGTGGTGCTGAAGTTCGAACCCAGCGCCCTGTGAATGTCAGGCAAGCACATTACCGCTTGAGCCACATCCCCAGTCCCCAAAGTTTCCCAATATAATGATTTATTTTTTAAATGGCAGACAGAATTATCTAAAACAAGACTCTAAACTATCTATCAGGTTTAGCAGCATTGGACATTGAAATAACGGCACAAGCCCCTAAATCAGTGACATTGTTTTCCTTCCTCTTAGAAGGCAGGCCCTGGCAGAGGACCCCAGAATCATCTTTCCTGGCACTGCACCATGAGGAGCATGCTCATAAGGAGTTTGACTCAAGTCTATGAACAGCTTCCGCCTTTTACTTTTTGCATAGAAGACTGCCCAGGGAGAGAAAAACAAACAAAATAAACAAAAATAAAAATCACCATCCTCAAGGATGTAATTTGAGTGGGGGGTCTTTTAAAAGAAATAACAAAAATTGCAACTGGCTACTCATTTTGGGGGAAAAAGTAATTTTGATTCCTATCTCAAATCCTATCTCCAGCTAAAGTTCATACAGATGAAATGCTCAAAAATGTGAAACAAAATCATTAACCGCCATGGAGTCTTAGGAGGGGATGTGCTACTGGTTCATTCCTTCTGTCAGTGCCAAGCCCCAGGATGCCTTACCACAGCATGGTCCCTACTGCTCTGGAGTTACAGGCTGGAGGAGGAAGCAGGAGAAAAGACATTATGATAGCGAATACCACAGTGAATGACTAGAGTTGGCTAGGAGGACATTCACTCTGAGGTGAAACTAATGCTACAGCCTATGAGATGATGAACCTGACAACAGCTAAGTGCCGATGTGTACAGGGTAGTTTTCCAAGAGATCTCCAAGAATTAACCTACTTAATCTTCCCAACAAATTCTGAGATAGGTACTATTATGATGATGATTCCAATTTTAAAGGTGAAGAAAAGGTAAAGAAATTTGCTCAAGGGCACAGGGCTAGTGAATTGGGAAGCAAGTGACCCCAAGAAGCATGCTCTTGGATCCTCACTCCTGCCTAAGGAGTTAGCTACAAGAAATGTGTATGAGTACCCACAAGTGTGGGTGCACGTGCACTTACATGTTCCAAGCAAAAGAAGAGCACCTACAGAATCATAAGGCAGGAAAGAGATTGATGTGTTCCCTGACCTGAGAGGGGGCCAGAGGACTGCAGCAGGGTGTTCAAGGGTGAGTGACAAGAGGTAGAGTTGGAAGCAGGCATGGCCAGATGCTGCTGGGCCTTTAGGCCATGGTGAGAATGCCATACAGGGGTATGCCAAGAGGCAATCATACCTCAAAAAGACTACTCTGCTGTGTGCAGGGTGCAGGTTCCAAGGGCTTTTGCTTCCTACTTAATCTACATGGGCATCATAAAGGAAAAGACTTGACTGCCTGAAATTTAAAATTTATAGACACTCAAAAGCACTATACATGATTCAAAGCCAAAAATTAATAATAATGTTTTTAAAGATATTTTTACATAAAAACACTCTTGTAAATTTGAAACAAAAATAGAAAACAGGCCTCCAGAGAAATGGGCAAAGGGCATGAGTAGAAAATTCACTACAGAGGAAATATAAATGGCATATGAAAAGAGTCCATCTGTCCAGAAAACTCCATAAGGATTTCTTATTTTTAATCCCACCACCTAATGTAAAGAAAGGAATGGGAATGGGAAAAAGAGACCTCTTGTATATTGTTGGGAAGACTAAATTGATTTAAGACTTCCAAGTTATCTATATTAAAACCTCTTTCTTGATTATATAAGAAAAAAAAACTAATATCCTCAAAAATAAATAATTAAAAGGATTTGCACTAATGCACACATCCAAAGAGAAATTTGTTAAATACAATAAATTCCTAAAATAAAAATTTCAACAACTTTTAATAATTATACACTAGTAACTACTAATATTGATAGGTTTATAACTTATCAGTTGACAAAAGCACATTGTATTTTTTTGTATTTGAAAATCTTATTTAAGCATACACATGTATAAAAATCTCTGGAAGGGTGTTAACAGAGGTGATTTGATGGTGGTATAATTACTCTTTAAAAATTTTTTTTTGTAGTTGTAGATGGACAGAATGCCTTTTTTGTTTTTATGTGGTGCTGAGGATCAAACCCAGTGCCTCACACATGTGAGGCAAGCACTCTGCCACTGAGCTACAGCCCCAGCCCTAATTATTCATTTTTAATAGGTCTTTTATATTTCTCAATTTATCTTTAATTTTCTACTATCGGTATACTTTGCCTATAATAAGCAAAGTCTCTAAGCAAAATATATTTAGATTATCATAAAATAGAGGCACACTAAACTACCTAGTAAAGACAGTCATGGAGAGGAGGCTAAGTGTACACTGGAGTTGAATCAGAAAATGTAATGGTAGAAAGGATTTGGAAAACATTTACCAAGTTCAACTCCTCATTTCACTGCTCAGGAAACCCCTACCATCTTTTTATTTTGCTGACCTGACTAAAAAAGCACAGCTCTCAATAAAGGCTTTTAGAAACAAACACTGAGAGCTATTACTCTTTGTTTCTCCACTGATTATGAAGCCATGTTCCCATGGTACCTAACTCCTGAGCAAAACCTATCCCAGGACAGGTGCACAGCCTGACAGCTGCCTTGGTGTTTGGAAATAAGAGGATTTTTGTGGGGCTGGGGATGCAGCCCAGTGGAAGGACACTTGGCCAAGCATACACAAAGCCCTGTGTTCAATCCCTAGCATGCATGCAGATGCACAGCGACACACATACCAAGTGTGTTACAGCATAATGTCACTTCTCATTCCATAGGCAACTAGATAATTCTGCTTTCCTAAAACGGATCCTATACCTTTCTCGAGCTGAGCTCATGAAGAAACATCCTGAAAACTGGAAACATCTAGCAAGCACACCCTCAACACCCCTAAGTGAAACTGTTTGTTCACAGAATCTGCAGAGTGGGACCCCAGAGTTGTTTGGATCCTACCTCCTTCCCAGCGGGGGCCTCTGACAGCTATGTCTCCTTTCCTGGCCCACATCCCACAACAGATACTGCAAAGAGTTCCCCTTTCCCAATCTAACACCCCAAACCTACCACTGCTATTCCCCACAAATACTTTCTTTATTCAGGAGTTTTATTCAGGCCATCAGGCTTTCACCCTTGAAATGTCACCTTCTACTTCAGAGCACTTGAGTCTAGATCCTTCATCTCTTCCTTTCCTGTTGGCTTAGAAGAAGTATCCTTCTTCTCTCAAAAGTGGATTTTGAGTGTTCCCAACAAAGAAATGATAAACGAGCTGGGAGCAGTGGCACAAACCTGTAATCTTAGCAACTCAGGAAACTGGGGCAGGAAGATCCAAGTTCAAAGCCAGCCTCAGCAATTTACGAGGCCCTAAGTAACTTAGTGAGACCCTGTCTCAAAATAAAATATAAAAAAAGGACTAGGGATGTGACTCAGTGGTTAAGCATGGCTGGGTGCAATCCCTGGCACAAAAAAAA